TTTGGGGTTAGTCAATGCACAGAGCTGAGTCCCTGGGTCCCTTCATGCCATGCACATTCGCAGATAGAGAAATTATTAATCCAGCTCAAGGAAGACAGTCTCCAGGAATAGCTAAAAGCAATAGAGTCCCAATACACCAGCCTACATCTGCACCCATGGAACTTCCTCCTCATGTGGGAGGGTGGATGGGAAGGATGGGGAGGGTGGATATGGAGAAAGTTCCATGGGTGCAGATGTAGGCTGGTGTATTGGGACTCTATTGCTTTTAGCTATTCCTGGAGACTGTCTTCCTTGAGAGAGATTAATAATTTCTCTATCTGCGAGTGTGCATGGCATGAAGGGACCCAGGGACTTGGCTCTGTGCATTGACTAACCCCAAACATGTGCTTCTGAGCCTTCTCCCCCATTTGAGTATACCACTATTTACCAACTCCCCAGCCCGTACGCCGGCTAGTCTTACTAAAGGTACAAAGTGGCAGCGACTGTCTATAAAAATATTTATTAGATTCAGTGTTGCAAAGCCATGTGTTAATGTATTGAACAGCATGAGGGATTGGCTGAGGACTGGTCCAAGGTGGAGTAGGGGGGCTATTTGAGAAGGAGCCCCCCAGAATATAGGTACGTGCCTTCCCTGGGAGGGAAAACGGCAATGTAAAATATTTCCATTACAATGGCCACTGTCTGGTAACATCTGTAAAAGTGCTATGCTGGTGGTGGTGTGGTCCAAAGGACATCTGTCTCTTGTCTTCTGGATGCACCTGGGATCAGATTCTAACGTGTTTCTGAAGGATTCCTGAGCAAACGATCATGGCTGACCCCAAAATAGTTAGACGTGAGTTTTCTGATTCTCAGACTTGCTCTTTACTCAGGATTTTGCTGGTAGCAGCAGGAAAATAAGCTGTGTTCTTCACTTGATGGCTTCGTAGGTAAATGCTGTCTGGAAGAGAATGGGTAACAGAGGTCATGGAACTGAGGGGAGAAAAGATTGTAGGGTGTCTGTTCAGTCACTGCTGGACAAAGTTAAAATGTTGCTTTGATGAATGATTTAGGTCCATACAGATTGACACATGCAGGGAACAAAATGGCTGGTGTAATCTTGTTCTGGGGCAGCTCCAGAGTCAGGTGGGGATTGCTGTGGGGTGAGATGCATGAAGGTTTGGGCAGCTGGAGGCGATAACATTGGACGTGCTTGTCAAAGGCATTTGGCGGGTCAGAGTAGAGATGGGGTGTGGTTGTTTCACGGACAGAGCAGTGCGTACTCCACAGACTTCTTGTCTCCTTCCCTGACTGTCTGACTCACCGGGATGCAGGTCTCCAGGCCCTCTCTATCTGTCTTTCTCCACAGCACACCCCACCTCACTTTACATGACACGTTTGGGACTCAGTGCTCAGCCTTGGTACGCCCTATAGCAGGGGTGGGCAAACTTTTTGGCCCGAGGGCCACATCTGGGTGGGGAAATTGCATGCAGGGCCATGAATGTAGGGCCGGGGCAGGGGGTTGGGGTGCGGGAGGGAGTGTGGGATGTGGGACGGGGTCCGATGTGCAGGAAGGGCCTCAGGGCAAGGGAGTTGGGGTGCAGGATGGGTGCGGGGTGTACAAGGGGGCGCAGGATGGGTGAGAGGTTACAAGGGGGCTCAGGGCAGGGGGTTGGGGCACAGGGTGGGTGAGGGATTACAAGGGGGCTCAGGGCAGGGGGTTGGGGCGCAGGATGGGTGTGGAGTTACAAGGGTGCTCAGGGCAGGGGGTTGGGGCGCAGGATGGGTGCGGGGTTACAAGGGGGCTCAGGGCAGGGGGTTGGGGCGCAGGATGGGTGCAGGGTTACAAGGGGGCTCAGGGCAGGGGGTTGGGGTGCAGGGGGGTGCAGGGTGTACAAGGGGGCTCAGGGCAGGGGGTTGGGGTGCGGGAGGGATGTGTCAGGGGATCGGGGTGCGAGGTGCAGGAGGGGTTCGGGGTGAAGGCTCCGGCCTGGCGCTGCTTACCTTGAGTGGCTCTGGGGTGTCAGTGGCACGCAGTGGGGCTAAGACAGGTTCCCTGCCTGCCCTGGCCCCGCGCCGCTCCTGGAAGCGACCAGCACCATGTCCCTGCGGTCCCTGAAGGGGCGGGGCAGAGGGCTCTGCGTGCTGCCCTCTCCTGCGGGTACCTCCCCTGAAGCTCCCATTGGCCACAGTTCCCTGTACCCAGCCAATGGGAGCTGTGAGGGGTGGTGCTTGGAGGCGAGGGCAGCGCATGGAGCCCTCTGCCCCCCACCAGGAGCCGCAGGGATGTGCTGCCGGCAGCTTCCAGCGGGTGACAATCCCGCGGGCCAGATCCAAAGCCATGACAGGCCGGATTCAGCCTGTGGGCCATAGTTTGCCCACCCCTGCCCTACAGCACTGTCCAAATCGTGTTTCAGAATAAGAACTGCTCCAATACCTGGGGCTGCAAACTGGGGCCTGATTTTTGATCAATGGCCTCTAATTTTGCAGGCAAACTGGTTGCCCTCAGCTACCTAACCAACTGACGGTACCCACAATAACAGAGGCTGGTTTGGGGCTCTCTTCAAAATGAGACTCGAGACATGGAAA